AACAAAAAATTTTTCCAAATTAGTAACTGCCCTTTCGACAGCAGTTATGACTAGAAAAAGGTGTAAGGTTTAATTCATGACTTCCCTTTTTTAATAAGTGATGATAAAGGTTTTCTTTTGCTCGTCGTACTTTGGTGAAAATGGTTATTTATTATTTTTATTTTATTTTATTGATATTTTTAATATTTAAGCTGGAAATGTCTGTTGAGTTAAAAAAAACTTTATATTATATGGAAGTTTTTATGTTTGTACACATCTGTAAAGAATAATAATATGTATATTTAAAAATAACAACAGGATTATGTGAGAGTGTTAGATAGGAGTGATTGCAGCAAGTGGTTTTCATGATCTAATGTGCTGTGAAGTGATTCAGGGGGACCCAGTTAGCCGGACTTGAGTCCTGGAGGTGGTCAGGAGAGGTGGGAATGTTGCAGTTCTGCAGGTTATCTGAGCTTTGATGTTGGCAAGATGGTGATTGAATGAATGACGGTGAAGTGTTATTTCATTTTTGGATCGCCCTATTTTGGTGGTAGATGGCTGATGCCATACAGCAAAACAAATTAAAGGATATTTTTATTTCAGGATTAACAAAAATCAGCCTACCTGGTATAACTATGTGTTGTGTGGAGTTAGAGGTCTCCGAGATGAAGGCGGTATTGAGGGTCCTCTGGTTGGCTTGGATATGGTGGTGGGAGGCAACATCCCACCCTCATCTGGACTGTCCTCATCATCTGCTCTGGTGTGTGCAGCTTCTTTGGCTGTTTCACATGCTCATGGCCTCTCTCTGACCAAAGACAGACTTGCTGAAATTTGTGCCCGCTGCGAGAGACATATAGGTACTCAAGGAGGAGGAATGGATCAAGCAATATCTTTCTTAGCAATTAAAGGTTATTATATTTGAACTTTGTATATTATTACAGTGGTACCCCGAGTTTCGTACAACTTTCAACTCGAACAGTTATGTAAGTGTATTATTTTAAGTGCTCTTGTAAGTGTATTTTTGGGGGTCTGAAACAGACTAATCTAATTTACATTATTCTTTATGGGAACAAATTCATTCGGTAACAGCACTCGAACAGCCTTCTGGAAAGAATTATGGCCGAAACTCGGGGTACCACTGTACTTATAGTTTATTTTTGTAAATATAGCTAGGTTATATTGAGCTTTGCCAAAATGAACTAATATGCATTGTTTCATATGTATGATTTTTTGTAAAGAAATTTGTTAAATGTTAGATAACTGAGATCATCTTATGATTATCAAAGAATTCTCCATTGATTATACAGTAAACTCCAAACTATAGACTTAAAATAGTAGAATATTGCTAGTTTTTTGAGAAATCACTAAAGCTTTATTTCAAGCATATCACTTTTATAAATTTTACCTAAAAAAACACAATTTTTATAATCTTAATAAAATAAATTGTTAGATATGCAAATAGAGTGATAGACAAGCAAGACAGGAATAGTTGTGAATTTAAGGTAGGAGGAGTTGTAAGCTTCTTCTTGCGCTTACACTTACTTGATAATACCATACAGTAGGTTCAGAGATAACATTATACTAATTATTTATTTTTCTGTTGCAAGTTCCTTCTTTAATATTGTCTTGCTTAATTTCTAATGATGTTGAGTTTTTAGTTTTTCAAAATTATTTCACAATCTATGTCTCTACCCATATATATAATTTTCAGACACGGCAAAAGTGATTGAATTCAATCCATTGCAGTCAGTATCGGTGACCCTGCCACCAGGTGCTACATTTGTTGTGGCAAACAGCTTAGCCCCAATGAACAAAGCAGCCAATTCCAGCTTTAACTGTCGCGTCATGGAGTGTCGTTTAGCAACACAAATAATGGCCAAAAATGCAGGTAATAATGTACATACTTATACGGATAAATGAAGAGGTGAGGATGTTGCAGTTCACAAGGCTATATGAACTGTGATGTCAGAACGCTTCTGGAACAAAACCAATTGAATGAATGATGAGTATATTTCTTTTTTGTGTGTTAAAAAGTAGATAATATATAGTGGGAAGTACATTGCCTGCACTCTGAAGGAGTGGAGATATTTACAGTTTGGAGGGGCCTATGAACTGTAGTATCAGTATGTGTTTGGCAAGGCAGTGATAAAAGTGAATGATGGTGAAAGTGTTTTTTTTTTTTTTTTTTTTTTTTTTTTTTTTTAGGGGTTACGAGAGTGAGCAAGGAGACAAGGTTAAGGCTGTTTGGGCGCTCCCCACATTATCCGTAATATACGTACTACCAGCCTACGTGAGTATTACTTTACCCTATCCACGTGTTCGAACTCCCACATGATAGAAACACTTTCACCATTGTTCACTCCACTTCTTGCCAAAGGTATGCTGATACTACAGTTCATAGGCCCTTCCAAACTGCAAATATCCCCACCCTTTCTTCAGAGTACAAGCACTGTACTTCCCCTAGGTAGTAGGTTGGTAGACAGCAACCGCCCAGGGAGGTACTACCATCCTGCCAAGTGAGTGTAAAATGAAAGCCTGTAATTGTTTTACATGATGGTAGGATTGCTGGTGTCCACTTTTCTGTCTCATAAACATGCAAGGTTTCAGGTACGTCTTGCTACTTCTACTTACACTTTCGTCACACTACACATACATTTTTTTTTTTTTTTAACAAGTCGGCCGTCTCCTGAGGCAAGGTGACCCAAAAAAGAAAGAAAATACTTTCATCATCATTCAACACTTTCACCACACTCACACATTATCACTGTTTTTGCAGAGGTGCTCAGGATACAACAGTTTAGAAGCATATACGTATAAAGATACACAACATATCCCTCCAAACTGCCAATATCCCAAACCCCTCCTTTAAAGTGCAGGCATTGTACTTACCATTTCCAGGACTCAAGTCCGACTATATGAAAATAACCGGTTTCCCTGAATCCCTTCACTAACTATTACCCTGCTCACACTCCAACAGATCGTCAGTCCCAAGTATCGTTCGTCTCCATTCACTCCTATCTAACATGCTCACGCACGCTTGCTGGAAGTCCAAGCCCCTCGCCCACAAAACCTCCTTTACTCCCTCTCTCCAACCCTTTCGAGGATGACCCCTACCCCTTCTTCCTTCCCCTATAGATTTATATGCTTTTCCATGTCATTCTACTTTGATCCATTCTCTCTAAATGACCAAACCACCTCAACAACCCCTCTTCTGCCCTCTGACTAATTTCTTTTATTAACTCCACACCTTCTCCTTTAAATTTTCCCCACTCTGAATTTTTGCATAATATTTACACCACACATTGCCCTTAGACAGGACATCTCCACTGCCTCCAACCGTCTCCTCGCTGCTGCATTTACCACCCAAGCTTCACATCCATATAAGAGTGTTGGTACTACTATACTTTCATACATTCCCTTCTTTGCCTCCATAGATAACGTTTTTTGACTCCACATATACCTCAACGCACCACTCATCTTTTTTCCCTCATCAATTCTATGATTAACCTCATCCTTCGTAAATCCATCCGCCGACACGTCAACTCCCAAGTATCTGAAAGCATTCACTTCTTCCAAACTACTCCTCCCCAATTTGATATCCAATTTTTCTTTATCTAAATCATTTGATACCCTCATCACCTTACTCTTTTCTGTGTTCACTTTCAATTTTCTACCTTTACACACATACATGTACAAGCATATATATACACACCCCTCTGGGTTTTCTTCTATTTTCTTACTAGTTCTTGTTCTTGTTTATTTCCTCTTACCTCCATGGGGAAGTGGAACAGAATTCTTCCTCCGTAAGCTATGCGTGTTGTAAGTGGCGACTAAAATGCCAGGAGCAAGGGGCTAGTAACCCCTTCTCCTGTATAAATTACTAAATTTAAAAAGAGAAACTTTCGTTTTTCTTTTTGGACCACCCTGCCTCGGTGGGATATGGCCGGTTTGTTGAAAGAAAGAAGAAGAAAGATTTTTTAATACAAGCTCCCTCTCACCGAAGCAAGGGTGATTAAAAAATAAAGAAGAAACACATTCATCATCATTCATTCAGTTTCTGTTGTGCCAAAAGTGTACTGACATGACAGTTCAGATGGCCCTGTAAGCTACAACATCCTCACTTAATTTACCTAGGTAAAAGTGGCTTCTATCTAAATATTGATAAAATCACTTGACCTAACATCATATGAAATTAATTTCTGAAATTTTGATTATCATCCCAAAATTTTTGCGTAATGAAAGTGTATGAAATAATTATTTCTTAGATGTATTGGTAAAAAGAGTGATTCACAAATTTAATGTTCAAATTCTCATTACAATAATTCTTCTTTAAAACATTACATGCATGTTGTATAAATTGCTGGTTATTGATAATGGCATAATGTATGTATGGTATCTGTGAAGTCCTCTTCAATGTACACACTATTTGTGAAGCTTCTTGTGCTCACTGTGAAGCCCCTTGTACATGAACTGTGAAGCCCTTGTACATGCACTGTTAAGTCTCTTGTACACACTGAAGCCCCTTGTACATGCAGTGTTTATGAAGCATACTGTAATATCCTTGAAGACTCAACCCTGCTACAGTACATTCATTTTGTGAAAATTGTTCCCAGAAATAAAATGTATCCCAGTTTTCAATTCAAAATGTCAGGTTAGATGATTAATATGCTTGCATATGTATAAATTATTGCAGGACTAGCTTGGAAGGAATACAGCACATTAGGACAGCTGCAGAAAATCTTAGGGATGAGCCTGCCACAGATGATTCGACTTGTTTCTGATACTTTTGAGCCTCGGCCTTATAGTAAGGAGGAAATCTGTGAACTGCTTGGTACTTCTCCTGAAGTACTAAATCAAGTAAGGTGCCTTTTTTTTTTAACACCTGAAAATTTAAAAAATCGGTCATATACACCATGGAAGGACTGGTATTCCTTTACCCCCTCCCCCTACACTTTTTTTTTCCCCACTTTTTTTTCATCCCATTTTTTTTTTTCTCCATTTTTTTCTCCACAATTTTTTACCTTGTCTTTTTTACCCCAAACTTTTCTCCCCACATTTTTCCCACCTCAGTCCCTCACTTTTTTATCTCACTACATTTTCTTCCATACTCCCTTCTTCCTTTCCTCCTCCCATTGTTTCTTTCCACTCCTATATTCTTCTCTTCCTCCTCCTCCATTCTTTCTTCTCTCTCCTACTGTCTTTATTCCCACCTCTATATACTTTTTCCCCATTTTTACTCTCTTTCATTCTTCCTCTTTCCCTACTCCTCTCTCACTTCCTACTCGCTTTTACTCACTCCATGTAAAATCTAACATATAAAACTTAAATGAGTAAATTGTTAAGGCCTTAAAATTTTATTTAAGCATTTGTCCAGCATTAAGCTTGGGCAGGTGTGACTATCTCATTAAAATTAGGTAATCTTATGTCAAGAGAAAGAAAGCTCATTAGATCTCAGATATATACATGTAGTACCATCAAGTTGATAAACAGAATACGTGCAATTCCTGGGTATCTTTCTGAGGGATGTTTTGCCCATTGTGGGCTGTTTCAGTCTAATGATTGGTAAAGCATGCGGTGGTACTCGCATTTTTGATGCAGGAATCATTCTGTGTTGCTGAAAACTTAGTCTTATTCCCAAAAGTTGCAATTCTGTTGCAAAATGTAAATTTACATAACTTACATGTGGTAAACATTAGTGCGGCTTAAGTTTTTTATAAGCAGATTATTACTGGGTGTGTAAAGGTAGAAAGTTGAAAGTGAACATAGATAAGATGAGGGTATCAAATGATTTAGATAAAGAAAAATTAGATATCAAATTGGAGAGAAGGAGTATGGAGGAAGTGAATATTTTCAGATATTTGGAAGTTGATGTGTCAGCGGATGGGTTTATGAAGAATGAGGATAGCCATAGAATTGATGAGGGAAAAAAGGTGAGTGGTGCGTTGAGGTATATGTGGAGTCAAAAAACGTTGTCAATGGAGGCAAAGAAGGTAATGTATGAAAGTGTAGTGGTACCAACACTCTTATATGGGTGTGAAGCTTGGGTTGTAAATGCTGCAATGAGGAGGCGGTTGGAGGCAGTGATGTCCTGTCTAAGGGCAATGTGTGGTGTAAATATTATGCAGAAAATTCGAAGTGTGGAAATTAGGAGAAGGTGTGGAGTTAATAAAAGTATTAGTCAGAGGGCAGAAGAGGGGTTGTTGAGGTGGTTTGGTCATTTAGAGAGAATGGATCAAAGTAGAAAGACATGTTTATAAATCTGTAGGGGAAGGAAGGCGGGGTAGGGGTCGTCCTCGAAAAGGTTGGAGGGAGGGGGTGAAGGAGGTTTTGTGGGCGAGGGGCTTGGACTTCCAGCAAGCGTGCATGAGCGTGTTAGATAGGAGTGAATGGAGACGAATGGTTTTTGGGACCTGACGAGCTGTTTGAGTGTGAGCAGGGTAATATTTAGTGAAGGGATTCAGGGAAACCGTTTATTTTTATATAGCCGGACTTGAGTTCTGGAAATGGGAAGTACAATGCCTGCACTTTAAAAGAGGGGGTTTGAGATATTGGCAGTTTGGAGGAATGTGTAATAGGACGGTATTCGTGTATGTATGTATATATATATACAGTGGACCCCCGCATAACGATCACCTCCGAATGTGACCAATTATGTAAGTGTATTTATGTAAGTGCGTTTGTACGTGTATGTTTGGGGGTCTGAAATGGACTAATCTACTTCACAATATTCCTTATGGGAACAAAATCGGTCAGTACTGGCACCTGAACATACTTCTAGAGTGAAAAAATATCGTTAACCGGGGGTCCACTGTATATATATTTTTTTTTTTTTTTTTTTTTTCAACAAGTCGGTCGTCTCCCACCGAGGCAGGGTGACCCAAAAAAGAAAGAAAATCCCCAAAAAGAAAATACTTTCATCATCATTCAACACTTTCACCACACTCACACATTATCACTGCTTTTGCAGAGGTGCTCAGAATACAACAGTTTAGAAGCATATACGTATAAAGATACACAACATATCCCTCCAAACTGCCAATATCCCAAACCCCTCCTTTAAAGTGCAGGCATTGTACTTCCCATTTCCAAGACTCAAGTCTGACTATATGAAAATAACCGGTTTCCCTGAATCCCTTCACTAAATATTACCCTGCTCACACTCCAACAGATCGTCAGGTCCCAAGTATCATTCGTCTCCATTCACTCCTATCTAACACGCTCATGCACGCTTGCTGGAAGTCCAAGCCCCTCGCCCACAAAACCTCCTTCACCCCCTCCCTCCAACCTTTTCGAGGACGACCCCTACCCCACCTTCCTTCCCCTACAGATTTATAAACATGTCTTTCTACTTTGATCCATTCTCTCTAAATGACCAAACCACCTCAACAACCCCTCTTCTGCCCTCTGACTAATACTTTTATTAACTCCACACCTTCTCCTAATTTCCATGTGGAGTTTATTATATTATTTCAGGTCACTTTTTGTATTTTATCTTTATATATGCTTCTAAGCTGTAGTATCTGGGCACCTCTGTAAAAACAGTGATTATGCATGAGTGAGGTGAAAGTGTTGAATGATGATAAAAGTATTTTCATTTTGGGTATTTTCTTTCCTTTTGGGTCACCCTTCCTAGGTGGGAGATGGCCTACTTTTTTTAAAAAAAAAATTACCTGAACAAAGGTTGTGACTGCTAGTACTGATTTGTTCATTGTGCTATAAACCACATTCATTCTTCTTTCCTTAAAAGTCTTTATGTGGCTTATATCTCATGAAATAACAATTTGAGCAAGAAATGAATGTTTGTGTTTGGCTTTGGATATGTTGCTTGTATAATAAAAAATAAGTAAATGGCTGAATTTCATTGTTTTTTACTACAACTGCTATTTTCTTACCAAGGTTCAGTGATCCAAAAAAGGAAACATCATCCCCATCATTCATTCAATAGCGTGAAGTGCATTGATCATCACAGTTTCAATTACCCTGTGACTTGCATTATTTTAAATACCGCAGAGTGTAGACATAATAAAAAAAATTAATTCACAGATAACCTTGAGTGAAAATACCAGGCACATTGATCATTTCAAGCTACATGACCGTGCCCTACACGTTTTCTCTGAGGCTCACCGAGTATGGGAATTCAAGCGTATTTGTGAAGAGCTCAGTGAGACAGCCCTGGAAGAACTTGGAAGACTCATGCTGGAATCTCATAGATCTACTCAGTTGCTGTATGAATGTTCACATCCCAAACTTGATGCCTTGGTTGATCTCTCACAGGGAGTTGCTGAGGGAGCAAGATTAACTGGAGCAGGGTAAGTTGTCCATGTATTTTTTTGTTATTTCATTCAGCAAGGAAAATCTGATACAAGCCTTTTGTCATATAACCTGTTTTTTCAGTTATGTTTTTTTTTTACCTCAATGGCTATCTCCCCAAGGCAGGGGTGACTCTTCCCCAAAAATGAAGCACATTGTATATTCTTAAATTGAATTGAGTGTTAGTATCACTGCTTTAGTTATCAGAAATAATAATATGCAATAACACTTGTGGTCTCTTTCCACAAAAATGCAGCCTTAAACTGTGACTGCTGGTGTTACTAAGCATCTCATTTGGTATCAAGGACACAGATATATTTTGGCAGACATACATACATTTTCTTCATGGGGAAGTGGAACAGAATTCTTCCTCCGTAAGCCATGCGTGTTGTAAGAGGCGACTAAAATGCCGGGAGCAAGGGGCTAGTAACCCCTTCTCCTGTATAAATTACTAAATTTAAAAAGAGAAACTTTCGTTTTTCTTTTTGGGCCACCCTGCCTCGGTGGGATACGGCCGGTGCGTTGAAAGAAAGATACATTTGACACAAGATTTAAGATATTTGTCCCCCAGTACCAACAATACCACCAGTCCGATGACATTCTTCTTTGCAAATATACAGGGTCTAAAGCCAGCAACAAACAACAAAATACCTTTCATCCGTGGACTGCTTGCAAAGGCAATGTTTGCGGCTTTCACTGAGACCCACATAAAGGATCACTTAGACAACGAAATATGGATCCCAGGTTACAACCTATACAGATGTGACAGAGTGAACAGGCAAAAGGGGGGGGGGGGGTTGGCCTGTACATTGCAGAGTCACTTGTTTGCACAGAACTGCTCAATGCCTCAAATGATGTAGTGGAAGTTTTAGCAGTAAAGGTCGAGAACCAAAACCTAGTCATTGTGGTAGTCTACAAGCCTCCGGATGCAACATCCCAGCAATTCCAGGAACAGCTGTTAAAAATTGACCACTGTCTGGAAAATCTTCCAGCTCCTGCACCCAACATCTTGCTCCTGGGGGATTTCAACTTAAGGCACCTAAAATGGAGGAATATAGCAAATAATATTGTTGCAGTAATAACACCAGGAGGCAGCTATGATGAAAACTCACACTCACATGAGCTTTTAAATCTCTGCACAAAATTCAATTTAAACCAGCAAATAATAGAGCCTACTAGAATGGAGAATACATTAGACTTCATCTTCACTAACAATGATGATCTGATAAGAAATGTCACCATATCAAAAACAATATACTCAGATCACAACATAATTGAGGTTCAGACATGTATGCGCAGAGCCCCAGACCGACAAAATGAGATTAGTCACGAGGGAGCATTCACCAAATTCAACTTCAATAACAAAAGCATAAAGTGGGACCAAGTAAACCAAGTCCTAACCGATATAAGCTGGGAAGATATACTAAGCAACACAGACCCCAACTTATGCCTAGAACAGATTAACTTGGTGGCACTCGATGTATGCACAAGACTTATTCCTCTAAGAAAAAGGAGGAGTAGATGTAAAATAGAAAGAGACAGGCGCTCTCTTTACAGGCGACGGAAAAGAATAACAGAGCGGCTAAAAGAGGTCAATCTATCTGAAATGCGTAGGGAGACACTGGTCAGAGAAATAGCAAATATCGAACTTAAGCTAAAGGAATCTTATAGGAGTCAGGAATCGCAGGAAGAACTAAAAGCCATAAATGAAATCGAAAGAAACCCAAAGTATTTCTTCTCCTATGCCAAATCAAAGTCGAGAACAACGTCCAGTATTGGGCCCTTACTTAAACAAGATGGGTCCTACACAGATGACAGCAAGGAAATGAGTGAGCTACTCAAGTCCCAATATGACTCAGTTTTTAGCAAGCCACTAACCAGACTGAGAGTCGAAGATCAAAATGAATTTTTTATGAGAGAGCCACAGAATTTGGTTAACACAAGCCTATCTGATGTTATCCTGATGCCAAATGACTTCGAACAGGCGATAAATGACATGCCCATGCACTCTGCCCCAGGGCCAGACTCATGGAACTCCGTGTTCATCAAGAACTGCAAGAAGCCCCTATCACGAGCCTTTACCATCCTATGGAGAGGGAGCATGGACACGGGGGTCGTCCCAAAGTTACTAAAAACAACAGACATAGCCCCACTCCACAAAGGGGGCAGTAAAGCAACAGCAAAGAACTACAGACCGATAGCACTAACATCCATATCATAAAAATCTTTGAAAGAGTCCTAAGAAGCAAGATCACCACCCATCTAGAAACCCATCAGTTACACAACCCAGGGCAACATGGGTTTAGAACAGGTCGCTCCTGTCTGTCTCAACTATTGGATCACTACGACAAGGTCCTAGATGCACTAGAAGACAAAAAGAATGCAGATGTAATATATACAGACTTTGCAAAAGCCTTCGACAAGTGTGACCATGGCGTAATAGCGCACAAAATGCGTGCTAAAGGAATAACAGGAAAAGTCGGTCGATGGATCTATAATTTCCTCACTAACAGAACACAGAGAGTAGTAGTCAACAGAGTAAAGTCCGAGGCAGGAACGGTGAAAAGCTCTGTTCCACAAGGCACAGTACTCGCTCCCATCTTGTTCCTCATCCTCATATCTGACATAGACAAGGATGTCAGCCACAGCACCGTGTCTTCCTTTGCAGATGACACCCGAATCTGCATGACAGTGTCTTCCATTGCAGACACTGCAAGGCTCTAGGCGGACATCAACCAAATCTTTCAGTGGGCTGCAGAAAACAATATGAAGTTCAACGATGAGAAATTTCAATTACTCAGATATGGTAAACACAAGGAAATTAAATCTTCATCAGAGTACAAAACAAATTCTGGCCACAAAATAGAGCGAAACACCAACGTCAAAGACCTGGGAGTGATCATGTCGGAGGATCTCACCTTCAAGGACCATAACATTGTATCGATCGCATCTGCTAGAAAAAAAGACAGGATGGATAATGAGAACCTTCAAAACGAGGGATGCCAAGCCCATGATGACACTCTTCAGGTCACTTGTTCTATCTAGGCTGGAATATTGCTGCACACTAACAGCACCTTTCAAGGCAGGTGAAATTGCTGACCTAGAAAATGTACAGAGAACCTTCACGGCGAGCATAACGGAGATAAAACACCTCAATTACTGGGAGCGCTTGAGGTTCCTGAACCTGTATTCCCTGGAACGCAGGCGGGAGAGATACATGATTATATACACCTGGAAAATCCTAGAGGGACTAGTACCGAACTTGCACACGAAAATCACTCACTACGAAAGCAAAAGACTTGGCAGACGATGCAACATCCCCCCAATGAAAAGCAGGGGTGTCACTAGCACGTTAAGAGACCATACAATAAGTGTCAGGGGCCCGAGACTGTTCAACTGCCTCCCAGCATACATAAGGGGGATTACCAACAGACCCCTGGCAGTCTTTAAGCTGGCACTGGACAAGCACCTAAAGTCGGTTCCTGATCAGCCGGGCTGTGGCTCATACGTTGGTTTGCATGCAGCCAGCAGTAACAGCTTGGTTGATCAGGCTCTGATCTACCAGGAGGCCTGGTCACAGACCGGGCTGCGGGGGCATTGACCCCCGGAACTCTCTCCAGGTAAACTCCAGGTATAAATTAAGTCACACAACACTTCATCTAAATTTGTGTTGTGCATATTAATACATCACAATAAATTTTTCTCATGGTAGTATAACTACATTGTGCTCAGTTTAAAGGCGAATTTATATTGCATTTTCATTATCATATTGTTGTATACTATTTTAAAATTTCACCCAATACAAAGTGCTTTCCATCAGCCTTTAAAAGTGATGAATGTATTATCTGTTACAGATGGGGTGGGTGCATAGTGGCCCTGGTGAAAGAAGAAGCTGTAGAAAACTATAAGAAGATGCTAAGAGAAAAGTATTATAACAAAGAACCAGAAGCAGAGGGTCGGGACATAAACACCATTCTCTTTAGCTCTCGACCAGGCTCTGGGGCTTGCATTTTTGTACAGTGAGAGATAAGCTAAAATGCAGCTATTGGTAAATGTAAGGTTGTTTCCAGAAGTCTGGGCCTGTCAGGAACATAGATATTACATTCTTTGATATCAGTTTTACAATATGTATTGCACATAAACAGTTTAAGGATACTGAAAATGTTTCCGATAAACCTTGTATTGATTGTACTTGCTCCTCTACAGATGAACCATATTGTGAAAGAAGTTGGTCCAAAATTATGGAATACCTTTTACTTTAGGTTGATAATTCATTTATCCTTATTTATTATAGATCCCAATCAGGGATCCCATATTTTTTGTTTCTGTACAGTATCTTGAAAATGCCTCTTCATGTTAATTTACTACACTGTGTGATTATAAAATTGTTTTCTTTTAAAAATTAGTCATCTTATCCCCTTGGTGGTAATTTTAGGAGCTTTTGTTTTCTTCTGTGCTAGAGTGACGGTGATTAAGACGACTGAGGTGCTGGATGGTATCACTTGAAATGCAGGTTCAAAGAGCTTTTCTGAAAGAGCCAGTTTTTTTTTTTTTTTTTTTTTTTTTTTTAGATTTTTATAAATTATTGCTCTACTGCTATATCTAAAACAGTTTAGATAAACTTTAGATTTGGTATGCGAATATGTTTGATTTATATAATGTACAGTGCTGTACTAATTTAACTGTTTTTCAGACAGTTAAATTTTTTATTTTATGAAAGTGTTAATGTAGTTTTTGGTCAATATAAATTGTCATACTCCATAGTATAAAGATTTTGTCTTTTTCTCTATATGCAGTACTGTCCTCCTTATTTAATTTTCACTAAAAAATTTTGCATGGTAACTTATTTTTTACTACCCTTCTTATCTCTTCATTACACTAATCACTCCTCTTCACTTCTGCATCTCTCTCATAACCACAAACCTTTCTTGCACACTTAAAACTGTTATTGAATTCTCACTATACCTCCTCAACTATTGATCCCTTTGTCACTAGTGTCAACCCATCTTCTGTAAGTTGCTCATACCTCTCAGTAAATTGATCATTCACTTGCATTTTTCATTTACTCATTAACACAATTTGTCTTTCACAGATAATCTGCTCTTAAAGGGAACTTATAATGACATTTCGGTCCATTCTGGATCATTGTCAAGTCACATCTGTCTTGGCAGTGGTCCACGTTATTTGTTAATTGCTCCAGCCACAGTATTAGGACTTATTCCTCACCATTTGCCTTATACTCCACCTGGCTACCACTGAATAATGGCTAGACATATCAGCTGTCTTCTAATAACATAAACAATTTAGAAGTCTACCCATTTATTCACTATTATATACTTTAGCAAACTACTCTTGCTATGTATTTTATCCTGCCTTGTATGGTATACTTATCTTTTTCCTCTTAAAACATGTATTTCATATATATAACTAAACATCTTTCTAAATTTAAGTGTCCCTATTGCCATTTATCCTTGACAATACTGTCTTCTTTATTATGCATTTCAGAACAGTATCTCCAGCTTTAACATAAAGTTCTCAGAGCAATTATCTTTTTAGTTGGTTTAAAATTCCTCAAATATTTACTTAATACTTTCTAGAATCTCTCTTCTCTACATTCCTCTTTTATGACCTACTCGTCACATTCCAGCTTTATTCTTAACCATGTGATTCTCAAATTTAAACATCTATAAACCCTTTTTTTTTTAACAATAGTTCATTTAACATTATTATTAGCCATTTTGCTGTCATTTTCTCCAGTATGTCTGGCTTAATTCCATTTGCTCCACCCCTATTTAAACTCTTCCACTCCTTATAAATTTTGGTACATGCAACTTTCTCTTATGTATAGCATTTGTGCTATTTTTTTTTTTTCAATGAACCAGCCATATCCCACCAAGGCAGGGTGACCTAAATAAATGAAAGATTTGTGCTATATCCACACAAATTCAAAGAATCCAACTTTCAACATTTCCTCTTTCCTTGTAGTAATTACATAGAATAGAGGCAGAAATGATCCCTTTGTTCTTGCTGTTTTAGGCAGCTTGTTTGACAGCATAGATTACAGGGGATGAATTCTAGCCTACTTTCTGGGGACAATTAAAAAGAATATTCTGCAGGAATAACCATGCATGAAATCAAAGATAGAGTATACTGAAAGTAAGTAGAAGCTTGTAAGATTTACCTACTGTTACACATACTCATAATACAGAAAGTAAAGGCCAGCAGTACTGTTGGGGTGCAAACCATGTTACAGGCTTTCATTTCATACATAACAAGACAGTGGTACCTCCCCAGGGGGAAGTTGCATTTTACCAACCTACTACTGCCTAAGTACCAGCTGCATTTGGTATTCCTGGGCAGTCACCTATCTACTAATCAAATGCAGCATGACTTCACATCTCTTGATTAGACTGGTTATACCTCTCTCATGTGATCACACCATATCTGCTTACACAAGAGCTTTAATAGGTATCATGCAATTGTGTTAATTGCACAGTTACATCATACATATCATGGACAAGTTTGCAGTGACCTATTTTAGTACAATTCTCATACATATGAGTTTTAATTTACAATATATGAAGTAACTGTGCCATATGAAGATGCTCCACATTGAGTTATTTCAGTACAAATCTCATACAAAGTTGGCACCGCAGTACTTTTACTGGGAGTGTAGTCAGAGAAAAAAAATTTGTGTGTCTTGCAACTCTCAGCTGCAGCATCACCTGTCTGAAACAAGTTAAAATATTTGGTTTTGTAAAGTTTTGCCACTAAGCATTTATCAGCAGACTTATGAACATTACAGTACTAAACAGTATTTTTATTACCTTTTAAGTATTCTTTATATTGCCATGTTTCAATTACTGAAACACTCCCTCACCCAAGAGTGGGGAATAATCTTTACATCTAATTAGTTTGCTAATGTGAAAGATAAATAAATCAGTAGTACAAATTTTGCATGCATTAATATTAATAAAAATGTTAAGAATTTAGTTTCTTGTTTGTAAACAAAATGCTGTTGATCAGACTGCATCGTCATCTGTACTTATTCTTCACAGTACTGTTGGACTTTAATACTAGGTCTTTATTGGTAACTCATAAAATATTATTGTTCCGGTGATGCAGTGCTATGGTATATTATTTAATAAATATCCATGAGATTAATTTATAAACCATACCACGGGCGGGATTTGAACCCGCGGTCAGAGAGTCTCAAAACTCCAGACCGTCGCGTTAGCCACAATAAGATTCGTCCAACTAGGTATATTGTAGAAATATACCTAGTTGGACGAATCTTATTGTGGCTAGCTGGTCCAGTGGCTAACACGACGGTCTGGAGTTTTGAGACTCTCTGACCGCAGGTTCAAATCCCGCCCGTGGTATGGTTTGTTTGCAATCGTGTCATTACGATTAATTTATAGTCCTAATTAAAATCTTAATTGAGTGTTAAAATACTCGGATAACAGAATATCTAGTCAGGTAAACTGTCATCAGGAAATAACATCTCGGGTTTTGTTAGTTACAGACGCACACAGCTTAGCTATTGGTACAAGCTGACTACTTAGCTTTGGTCATTTATTTATGGAGTTGCATATATCATTTGACTGAAGGTAGTTGTCACAGGAACTGGCTCAGATAATTTTGTATAAACTGTTTATTTAAACATTTTGTAATCTTTGAAATCTTACTGTTGCTTGTTGCAGAAATATTATAATAGATACTTGTATGCCTTTTATTGTTCAGTAACTGTTAAATTGAAAATGTGAACACCTTTTCAGTCAAATACTATTAATTCGTAATCTTGCTTGTGAAGAGATACTATTAAAATTACTCTCAAGTGTTTATATGGTAAGTAAATTTGTCTGTTGAATTGAAATGTAGGGTTCATAGACAAGTTCAGATATTAATGTCAGCCTTTCGTGGATCTGAGTACCATGCTGCTTACAATAGTGTAAAGGACAGACACACTGCAGAGGGAGTTTTTGGCTCAATGTTTCGATCCAAACATTGAAACATCCTATTAAAAGCTTGTTCTGCTTTTCTTTACTATTTTCCTGTTTGAATATGAATATCAGATCTCATTTTGGTTGTTTAATTTATTATTGTGGTGCCCAGTTTTTCATTTAATAATAAAGGTAATAAAAACTATAACTGGTGAGTGTGTGTGCACAAAAAATATGTTGATATAAATATTGATGAACATGCATTCATAATACAGTATAGTGTATATATATAAAAAGTTGTATTTTGCAGGTCAGAATATCCAATTGTTATTAAATGGAATTTAGCTACAGCAGAGTATTGCATACTGTTACTGTCACGTAAAGTTGCAATAGTAGCTAAAAATATTTGATTTAAACTTTATAGGCAGTATTTAATTTGTTGTGTGGTGGGTTTTCATTATCTCAGGAATAAAGGTTTCTATTCAGTTAATTATGTCACAGTGATTTAAATACAATCAATCTTCTTTGATTTTAAATGATTCAAATCAAGACTAACAGATTATTCATTTTCTGATCCAATAAAATATTTTCCAACAGATTTTCTTTCCCCACCTCAGAACTCATTCACCTTAGTATTTACACCTGTCAGAGTCATGTATTGGAAAATTTGGCAAATAGACAAAAATGAGAAAAATTACAGTAAAAGATGGGTGCTCTGTGGTCTTTACAGGTTTAGCAAATCATCATGATTTTTTTTTTTTTTAACAAGTCGGCCGTCTCCCACCGAGGCATTATTATTATTATAATCAAGGGGGAAGCGCTAAACCCGGAGGATTATACAGCGCCTGGGGGGGGGGGATGTGAAAGGCATTCAGGCTTAATTCGGGGAACTGGAGCACAGATCCAATTCCCAAAATCAAGAGCCCCTCACCAACATCAAGGAACCTTCCTTGAGGGGTCCCACCGAGGCAGGGTGACCCAAAAAGAAAGAAAATCCCCAAAAAGAAAATACTTTCATTATCATTCAACACTTTTGCCTCACTCGCACATAATCACTGTTTTTGCAGAGGCGCTCAGAATACAACAGTTTAGAAGCATATACGTATGAAGATACACAACATATCCCTCCAAACTGCCAATATCATGAATATAATTATATTTATCCCTTTGGTGGAATTGGCCAGGAAGGATGAAAAAAGTGTGTCTTTCTTCAGATTAAAACTACTTTTACTTTTTACTTTTTGGGTCACCCTGCCTCGGTGAGAGACTGCCGACTTGTTAAAAAAAAAAATGAAGGAATCAGTATTAAAATTATATACAGTATGTATTTGGTGACTTATATTTTATATTCTCATGTCACATATACATAACAAAAGTACAGTAGTTAATATAGTGTAACCTAAGCAGTATAAGAAAAAAAAACAGCAAGGAGGCTTCCTGCTTCAGTACACAAACACAGATAGCATGGAATATCCAAGTTGTACCACACTAACATAACCTTCAGTGACCCACTCCTTGGATCAAACCTTTTAAAAAAAACCTTCCATTTTCCAGGTGCTATATGACTCCTTTGGGTTTAGCACATACCCATGAATATAATATTTATACAGTAATAATTCTACTAGTTTCCAAATGAAGACATACCTGATGCTTAGATTCACATTGCCAAAACAGCAAATGTCCCATAATTGTGTGCAATATACTATACAGGACAGTATATAAAGCATCAAGTTGTCAAAGTTGTGTTTCTTGATTACGTGATAGACCTATGCTTAATGTAGTTCATATAACTTCATTTTAAAATTTGCTTCTCATTTGTTAATTGCTGAATTGGCAGGATAGCATGCTTCATTTTCTTGTCTCAGAAGCATCTTTACCTGAAATCTTCATTTTACTTTGATGGCAAAAATGGCATTGAACATTCTTCCTCAACTTTAATATTTTACAAAAAAAAAAAAAAAAAAAAAAATCTAGTGAGGGAGAGTGAACTAAGAACAAAAAGTTAACAGCTAGCCATCAGAGAAAATGAAGGTGGGAAGGGGAGCAGATTATATGTGTTTACTGTGGGATATCGAGCAAATCAGAGCTAAATAAGTCCAGGAGGAGGTCTTAAACAGCGGCTGAGTCAAGGGCAGCAAGGTCTGCCCTGTCATTGGAATACTGTGCGTAGGTGTCCTTATTTCGTGCTGCACCATTGGCGTCCCATACCCAGGGGTATGTGTTAGGACATCCATAACATGTAACCATGTACCTGTAGAAAAAAGTGTTTTATGTTCAGTACCCTCCGAAAACTGCACAGGCCTGCCTAACTTCTCTTGTTGGTAAGATGTATGTATATGTGTGTGTGTGTGTGTGTGTGTGTGCAACATTATCACAGTAAATAGTTGATATCACAAAGTGCAAAATAACCAGTGAAAAACAGTGAAATTCTGAGTTTTTTGTAATTTTGATTATCAAGGTTAATGTGAAAAACTGTGAATTATAATGTAATCTCTCATATTGTAATTCATTGATAATGTGAGAAATCACAAAAGTGCTTGGAGTTTCACTATTTTTTCACTGCTTATTTTGCATATACGTATATATACATATATATATGTGTGTGTGTGTATGCATACATACACAGTGTGTGTGTGTGTGTGTGTCGGTTTTGTATCATAACATCCTCTTCTGTAAGAAGTGTAGGTGTTAGTGTCATAGGTGGTACTTATTTGAATGATTATTTAATGGCAATTTTTTTTTTTTGCAGGTTTAATAATTATGTTGATTATGGAACTGGTTATAGTTTCAGTCCAACTTGTTGCATAGCCCACTCAAGAGGTGAAATCCAAGACTTGAAGGATTAATCTAGTTAGGCTGAAAGAAGTCATAAGGAGACATTGCCAGCATAAAGGATGTGGTACACAAAATGAACCACACAAACTCGTAATGTTGAAACTGAATGTACTTGTTCGAGCCTGAATGGTAAGACAGGATGGTGAAAGAACAGGGTGAAAATGGATTAGTGAATGTATAAGAGGTCAGGAACTATGCATAATATCCACTGCCTGTTTCCTGTCACCCATCTACTTGGCAACTCACCTGGAGCCAAAGGGAGCAGTGGTACTGTTGTCAAACTTGGGCTCCAAAGAGAGTTTGCAGGATTCTGGAGCATTACATGGTGGTTCTGGGAGTACCTTATCTTTGCAGTCCCATGGCTGGAAGCGCGAGAGCTCGTTGAGTCTCTGAGGTGTAGTGACCCATTGCAGTGTCTCTGTCATGGTGGTGTAGTACACGTCCTCACTGTTCACCACGGAGGAAATATAAGAGAGATGTTTGTAATTTCAGTTTTAGATTGACACATACCTTAAACATAATTTGAGACCTGGCATGTTCAAATCAGATAATTTTATGATGGAGAACATGGTGTACAAATTCGAGAACACCTATCATGAAAATGTAGAATGTGTATGGAGTCGAAATTCTGAACAGCACATTCCTAGTGCATGTCACTTGTGGCATGGTTCATTTCTGATGTTAGTATCATAAAAGTTTTCTTCAATCTAGACTGTCATAATTATTGTATCTCATCAATGAAAGGATTAGTAGCACCCAGCCAACCATAAAATGTAATCTGCTCACATCACTTGTATAATCCCCTTTTATCAGTTATAGTCTCTTCAAGGGTAATTAGATTATTACACATAGGTAGTGTGCCTGCTGTTAATAAATGAAGACTCAAATCTCCACCACTCTGCTCTAGGTGACCCACACAGTAGTAGAGCTTCCCATAGAGCATAATAACATTCTAAAGCTGCCACTGTGGAAAAAATCTTTTCCTGGTGGTCCTAGTCCTTCTGTGTAATTATTAATGCCTAGGTTTCTTTTTTCAGCTTCAGTTCTGCCTCTAAACTCAGTGGAAGTGCACCATATAACCCATATCAATTAAGTGGCTCTTGATCAGAGGAATTGGAGCTACCCTCCCCATGCCCTGATTATCTCCCGTTTCCCAGATGCTGTATGACCCCATTGGAAAGTTTTAAAATATGACTCTACTTGGTGACTTCACATTTGTTCAACTCGCTTTATCTCACATTTATGATATCCTATATATAGTACCTATGTTTTCTAAAGCTCCATGTACATTTGAAGTCAATAATGTCTCGGGACTGAAACATTTACTTAATAAGATGTCCTACTCCCTCATGTGTCATTATTATAAAGAATAAAAGGGCATAATACCACGACTGGAACAATATACAAATAACCCGCATACAGGAGAAAGAAACTCATGAGGACGTTTTGGTTCGACTTGGACCATTAACTATGACATACTCAATCTTGAAAATGTACTCAATCATAACAATATACATGCAGGGCTGTTGGAACCTTGTGGGTTTAGTACTTAGTCCTGATTGTAATAATATACACAATCATAATGGTGTGCTAACATCTTAATCATGTACTTGCATGATTAGAGTGCATTCACACTTAACACTTTACGTATTTACATAATCATAATGTACTTATGCTGTATAGCCCTTGTGGTTTAGCGCTTCTTTTTGATTATAATAATAATAATAATAATGTACTTATAAATCTTTATGCAGTCGATATAACAGTGTACTCAGTATGAATGTACTTGCTGCATTCATACTGTCCTCCCCCCAACACTCTTGAGTAATGCACTGAGGAAGATGTACTTACAACTGCATGGTGTAGTCAATGAAGGCATGAAGAGCATTTTCCAGCTCTGGTGTCTGGAACCAGTTGGTGGTGAGTGCCATCATGTAGGGAGCCCTGTGAAGGAACAAGTCAGTGAGATGGTCAGAAATGGAGCCCTGATGAGGGGACCAGTGAGATGGTCAGAACTGGAGCCCTGATGAAGGAACAAGTCAGTGAGATGATCAGAATTGGAGCCCTAATGAAGGAACAAGTCAGTGAGATGGTCAGAATTGGAGCCCTGATGAAGGAACAAGTCAGTGAGATGGTCAGAATTGGAGCCCTGATGTGGGGAACCAGTGAAATGGTCAGAATTGGAGCCCTAAAGAAGGAACAAGTCAGTGAGATGGTCAGAATTGGAGCCCTAAAGAAGTTACAAGTCGGTGAGATGGTCAGATTTGGAGGCCAGATGAGGGAACAAGTCAGTGAGATGGTCAGAATTGGAGCCCTGATGAGGGAACAAGCAGTGAGATGGTCAGAATTGGGGCCATGATGAATGAACAAATCAATGAGATGGTCAGAATTGGAGCCCTGATGAAGGAACAAATCAGTGAGAAGGCCAGAATAGTATGTGGTACCCACAAACAGTTGGAAAAACACACAAAATGAAAACAATGGGACATTTTTTGGGAAACTTCGATCGTGGGACCTTGGTCACGCCAAATTTGGAGTGAACAAGATCCCAGGAGAGAAACATTTTCAGTAAAATGTCCCAGAGTTTGCATTTTGCTATTTTCCAAGTCAGTGTAGGCCTCTTCATCCAAGGAAATGGAGGTATGTCCCTGCTCCTTCTTTGGATCAAACCTCATTACCCTGACGGGTTTAGCACTTCCGCGTGATTGTAAAAGATTATGTAGGCTGTACCGCTGAATGTCCCATACGGGTCTAGCGTTCTCGTGTGAACAGAATAACATTGACTTGGATGCGAACGAAGGGCTCTTGATCCAAGAAACTGGAGCAACCCCTTCCTTGGGTCATACCTGATTACCTTCACGGATTTAGATAAGCTTTTTGTGAAATGATAATAAAACCCTTCAAGAGCGGTGCTTTGATGCCAGTGGAGAGTTCTTGATCCAAGGAACTGGATTTACTTTCCAGTTCCTTGGATCGAACCTAATTGCCACCCATTTTCCCCAACGTACCATACAACCCGTACGGGTTCATATACATCTACTTAAGAAAAAAACATGCAAATAGATATTTATTGCGTTGAGACAGCGCTGTATGACCCACTCGTGTGGGTTTAGCGCTTAATTGTGATTATAATAATACTATATGACCCATGTGGGTTTAGCGCTTGTGATTATAATATTATATGACCCACGTGGGTTTAGTGCTTAGTTTTGATAATAATAATAATAACAATAATAATAATAAATAATAAACAGGCAGTAAGTGAACCTAAACAACTTCTGTAATGAATGTTGTAAAATAAATATATCTTTCAGTTATACAATATTAAATAAAAGTGTTGTAGCAATATAACTATGAATGCAAGAGAGAGTGTTTCAGTGTGTTACTGGAGGTGGTGCTGTGAGGGTGTTACAGCTGCTGCTCTCACCTCATAGCCTCACACTACCGTAAGTTATTAATAATTTAACCTTATTTCTCAACAGTGTATATTGTGACTTTTGGAGTGGATTATATGTGAAAACCCGAGTTTGTTAAATTTAAAGCTGCAACGCTAAAACGAGGGTCGTTAAGGCTGCCGTTCACCTGTTTGTTACTTTAATTCGCAAATAATTAAATTAAACTTAATAATAATCTTTATTTCTACAAGTACATGTACAAGGTACACAGGTCTAGCTGACATCAATAACATACTACTACATAAAGCCCCTTGTTATGCAGAGCATTTCGGGCAAATTAGGTTAATTTTGTCCCCAGGATGCGACCCACACCAGTCAACTAACATCCAGGTACCTGTTTACTGTCAGGTGAACATGAACATCAGGTGTGTTAAGGAAACACGTCCTAATACATCCACCCGTACCGGATATCGAGCCACGGACCTCGCCGTGTGTGTAAATACATTGCACAAAGTGTATTTGTATATTAATAATAAAAGATAAAATCAGACTTCTCGCAGTCTGCTTAAGAGCAGCAATTGTCGAAACTTTACATCCCGTCATCTATTATGATGCAGAAAAGACTTGCACTTGGAGCTATACAACACACCTGTTAGCCAAATAATGGCGTTCGAAGTCCAAGATGAGCCACTCCAGTGCATCAGGTTCGTTGAGGTAGCTAAGAGCACACTGGTCTAGATAGGGGCAAAAGCCTCCTTGGTAATCGAAGTCCTTGAAGTGGGAGTTCATGGGCAGCTCCCACAGACCTGCAGGGAGAGTGCGAATTATTGTTTGTATTGCTATATTATCCTTCACCCCTCAGGGAAGGTTCCTTGATGTTGGTGAGGGGCTCTTGATTTAGGGAATTGGATCTGTGCTCCAGTTCCCCGAATTAAGCCTGAATGCCTTCCACATCCCCCCCCCCGGGCGCTGTATAATTCTACGGATTTAGCGCTTCCCCCTTGATTATAATAATATATTATCCTTCAGAGGAAGGTGTGGGGATGAAGATGCTTTGATGCTGATGAAAGGCTCTTGTTCCGAGGAATTGTAGCTACTCTTCTTTCCTCAGGTGTTGTATGACCCCTAAAAGTGTAGCGCTCCCCAGTGAATAGTAATATTATTATTATTAAAAAATAAATAAGCGCTCAATTCTTACGGGTCACATAATTGTTTATCAAAACTAAAAAGTACGGATATAATACGCTTTGGAATGATTTTTTATCTATCGGGATGGCATGGAAGATTATTATTATTATAATCCAGGGGGAAGCGCAAAACCCATAGGATTATACAGCGCCTGTGGGGGGATGTGGAAGGCATTCAGGTTTAATTCAGGGAACTGGAGCACAGATCCAATTCCCTAGATCAAGAGATGGAATGGAAGAATCAGCCCTTCGCGAGCGATTATCAAGAAAAACACTTAATGACGTTCATGATTCACAGGAAGTAAATTTAAAACGTGATTATCTAGGTGTGATTTGGTGGCAAGTGGAAATAACTCAGTGATGTACATGGATGTGCTTGGCAAAGATTTAAACATACCTGGGAAAGACTCGCAGACATACCTGGGAAAGATCTAATTGGGCAGGTTTCTGAACGGCACTCGTGGGAGATCTTGTACTCCAGGGAGTATGGCCAGACAGGTACAGCGGTGGGGGGGTTGTTAATGGTGGAGTCCCAAGTGAAGTCATAGGCACTCAGCACCTACCCGGGGTCACACAACTTTGTTATTCTCAGTATTTTTAATGGTAAATTGTTTGTAATGTGTTGATGCAATTTCCTGCCGGTGTTTTATTTTGTGATACATTTTGATAACTGTGAAATTCAGTGCTGTATTAGCCGAAATACGGATAAATTAACTAGCATCAGGCAGTCCATCACTGTTAGAGCCAACGTTCACCTGAAACCTTACAATGCTCTTACTGTCCATCTATATCTGCTTATGGCAGAAATCCACATTCACCTAGAACAGTTCAGTCACCAGAACTCGCCCAGTAGCAAATCTTAGAAACCCACATTAATGTCATGGGCAGCTCCCACAGTCAATGTATTTTTCCCATTAACATCGACTCTACAAAAAGCCGCTGTGCGAAAGATTACCCAATTTGGTGCCAGACAACACACTTCAAAAGTTTAAACTTGCTTAACATACATAATCGAATGTCGTTGTCTACATGAAGGTGATAACACCTCCCTCACCTCATACTGTGCATCCCTGCCAGGTTTGAGATGTGGTCCCCGCACACCTTTGATGTCGTTAGGTCTGACGCCAGCGAATCTCTGCAGGATCTCCTTCATGGTGACAGTCTCTCCGATCCACGTCTCCTCTCCTTCATCCTCTAGCCCCGCACGACGGCTGTAGGAAAACGCGAGTTGTTGCATTACCTGCCAACTTGTATGCTCATGAGAGAAAATGAACAGTAATAATAGGCTTCAGTTAAACATTCCTGCTTCCCTGGGTGGGTGTGCACATACCTAGTAGTTTTGAAAAAATATATATATAAAAAATGTATATTTAACCTAAAAGAAAGAGGTCGGGTATTTTAGTAATCGGAAAAACCAAAATTTCTCCTGACGCAGGTCTTGATTAATATAATGATCCGCTCAGCGGACCTTTTAGTTACGTGAACCCTTGAAGGCCTTGATGCCTCAAGAAATTTGAGCTATTTTTCCCTTCCTCGGAACTAATACTATTGCTTCCCACTACTTAAGCGTTGTATGATCCTTGCAGGTTTAGTGCTTCCCCATGACTATAATAAAGGTCTTCTTAGCGAGGCCTTCCGTCACCTACCTGACAGTTCCGACGGCAATCTCATGACCCCGGCTGTAGAATTTTTCGACTAGCTGGTAGTTAGTGTACTCGTGGGAGACGAAGAAGGTGCCGCGGATGGGGCAGCCGTTGGGGTTGGTTCGGTTGTCTAGGAAGATCTTGGAGTATGTCTCAAAGTTGAGGTCGTTGATAGCGCCGTCAAATGTCAGCATGATCATCTGGGGAACCTGCAGGCGTAGGAGGAAGTTTCTTAGTATAGAACAATGTTTTGTAAGTGGCCAGGAAGGTGACATCAGTGGTTCCATGGATCATCGCTCCAACTGCCTGGGCTCTGACAGGGTCATCTAAATTAGGAAGGACATAAGCACAGGACTAGGATCTTTTAAGAAGCATTCAGGAACTTAAAACTGAATGTATACTTAATGGAAATAAAAGTTTATAAATACTCATGAGATGGAAAGACCAAAAACTGTTTTATATGTAAAAAGATTTCACAGACAAGCTCTCAAACGCATTGTTTATACATCAGTAAATGCTGTATCTGTGTATATATACCGAGAGAGGCCTATTTCTGTGCCTACATTCTACATACTGAGAGGTGTGCATGTATATGAAGTTTACCTTGAATCCTATTTTAAAGATTAAAGTATTCTTGACTCTAGTGTATAGTTAAATTGCAGCTTTAATGGTTTAAAAGTGGCTGTAGTAAGTGCTACAATCATTGGAAATTTTAAAAAATATATGAAAAAATACTGAACACAGGACAACACGAGCATAGCCGTTTTGACCGGTAGCTACAAATAGGGTCGGGATGTTGCTGTACAGATGGTCATCTGAACTGTGATGTTAACATCTGCCTTCTCGGTAGGAGACGGCAGATGTTAAAAAAAAAATAGTTACTGTAATAACATGCAGTTGATGAGCTTCAGATCTAAAATACTAACTTCTGACTTGGACATGAAGCTAATATAGGCTACTGGGGAAAAGGGGAGGGAAGAGGGTTGGCGTAAAAGCATAATATGAGCCAAAAAGAACACAGTATACACACCTCTACAGGCTTCAGTCCACCAGGGATGTCCTTGCCCTCGAAGGAGCAGTGACAATATGGCAGAGTGCACTCCAGGCTGTCGCAAGCAGTGGCAGCGAAGGGATCAGGCGCCTTCTCCACTACCTCAGCTGCATGAAGAGAGGTCAATTGGTTAAACTAAGTTAGAAAGAGGTCACCTCTCAAAACAGATAATGTATATCCAAGACTCGAAATAGTAGGCCTCGATTTATACTCGAATTTTAACTGAAATTAGTAGGCCCTATAATAAATGTGTAAGCTTAACCGAAAAATCTCCATCCGGTCTAGTATTTAAATATCTGAAAATGTCTTAGGAAAACACACTGAGATATAAACAAAGATAATTTTATAAAAATAATTTTATAGAGATAGGTACAAAGGACAAATAAATTGAACAAAAAAGTGAGGTGGATACCACCCCCTGACAGGCCAGTGGTGACTCAGTTAATAAGGCACCAAATTAAAATTAAGACCCGATGTAGGAGTTTTCCTGCTATTCCTGACTAACAAAAAACGTCCTAGTGGAAAGCGACAAGGATTAGTGCATATTTTAATAATTTTTACTTGTATGATCTATTGATATTTTTGAAAACTATTTTAATATAATTGTATTATAATTTTAGATTCCGATGATGGATGAAGTAGCACCCGAAACGCCATGCAAAGGTAATGTGAGTTTGTGTTGTAAGTCAGTATTACATAGGTTATATTTTAGTGGATTACTAATTACTCCAGAAAAGGCGCTCCCTGTGATCGTATTTGCTTGGACCAACACCACTTTAAAAACTTTTACATTGGAAATGTCAACTCAGAACAGTTTAACTATTTGGTGAGTCTGGTGTAAATACAGATCAATGTATAAGTGAATCCATTTCTTAGTTTGAAAGCGGCGATAATGAATCATTTTTGCTGACTAAAAGAGAGCAGCCCAAGATTCGGAGCCCAACACCTGCAAACTCCAGTAAATATAGAGAGACAGACCTTTAGGCTGGGGCCCACACTTGATGTTTGGGTCAAACCTGCTGACACACTCATGTTTGCTACCATCGTAGTAGGAGCCTTCAGCGCATCTCTGTCGGTAAGGGAAGCCGCCCACACACTGCACATGGAGGGAGAACACGGGGTGATGAGTTAAGAGTTAAATAAGAGAGTGGCAGTGACTGTTTAGGGCCGTTAGAGGGAAAACTGGTCATATTAACTCGGCCATGGTAAAGTATTAGGGTTAGGCAGTATAAGTTAGAAAGAATACACTAACATTTGTAAGAATGATGGCAAAGTAGGGAAGGTACCTGGGACGGAACTTTATGAGCAGTCATAGTGGTATGGGCAAGTACAGTAGGTGGATATAGTGGAGAGACCACATTAAACAAAGCACACAGTTAAAGCCACATACTAAAAAATGTGAAACAAATATCCGAAGTTTGTGTAGTTCACTGTTAAACTATGGTGTGTAAATGTTAAGAAGTCTTACTTGGTAGAATACTTTGCAGTTTTGGTCACTGGCAAACTGGCCCTCTGGCTCTGGGCAAGTGAAATCCTGCCCGACACCCACACCTGAAATAAAACAATGCATATGTTATTTCATTATTTTCATATTCTGTATTCGTTGTTCATTGTAATATTTCTAGGAATTATTGCAGTAACATGCAACTGTTTCGCAGGGCTTAATTTATTAAGCTTGACGGAAGTACCGTACCATTACCGATATTGAGCAACAAATCAGGAACTTATAGATGAAGCCTTGAGACGCAAATAATGACCCTGAGTCCCTGACCTTTGCTAGATATAATGTATACATGTCGGCTTAAAAAAAACCAAGAGACATGAGTTTCTAGTATATAATTCAGACCTTGATATCGCTATTTGGATACAGGTTTGTCGGGTATGATTAATATGGAGTTTGATGTTGGGGTTCTCATTTGTGAGCAGTTTTGGCGAAATATCAATGTAAGTAAATAAGGAAGCAAGATAATTGAGAGTGGCAGATATAGTCAAAGAAAAGCGTCAGGATAATTCAGAATACATCACATTTAAATGTCAAAATTATCTGGGAGCCTGGCAAGACACCACTGACTAGGCAGCTCTGTGCCCTCGCAAGCTAAATTTGCCTGTAAACGGTAACGCAGCCTGGATTTCAATCTTAGGGAAGGCGCTTGAACATATGTTGAAATAAATAAATAAAATTTCGGCAATACTATTTTCAGCATACGTATATGTAAACTTTCTTAAATTATCGTGTTTTCGTGGTCACTGGTCAATAAAATACAGTGAAGTTACCCAATAATGGAAAAAGTATAAATTGGATATATTAATAGATATTAGACTTAATATGAACACAATCATTTTAAGACCCGTGTCAGTTGACGTTTATCCTCCCTCCTCCCCATCCAATGAAAAATAACTTCTCGACTTTGTTGTGGTGGCAGTACTACTAAATGATTATAACTATGACCATATTTTTTAAAGGGGTGGACCGGTAAGCCAGTGAAAAGCCTCGGTCAAATGGCTTGAAGCTGCAACGGCGAGTCATCTAAGACCCGCGTTAGGAAACACTTGCCCTGTTTCCTGACGAACCTCACCTAACCTAACGTGATGGCAGTGGCAGTATGGTAGCGGAGGTGATGGCGGTCGTAATCGTCATCGTGTTTCCTGTTCCTATGCTCCTAAGGTGGGCTCCATATTTCCTGTTGACTGGGTCTCAAATGCCAAGGCGTTCAGGCACTCTTAAAGTAACTATGTGACCTAAAGCAGAGTACACTTCAGAAGCATCCCCCCCACCCCACCCCACCCCAGCAGGTGACCCATCGTTACTTCATGACCACTTGGTCACCGCTTATACAACCTTATCTGATCAAGCTCGCGGCATTGTTTAACTTATCGACCATCTATATCATTTCAATTAAATCTTAGACTAAGTTTTTATGTCAAGTCAAATTTCAATCAATGTGGCCAGGCCAGACATCCGGTCTAGGCTTCGAGGCCATCAGGAAAAATTCTAAAATTCAAATTTAGTTATATATATAGATAGGAAAAAAATAATTAATCTTGACGGTTAGAGACATCCTGGCTAGGCTTCACGGCCAGTGGGAAAAGTGTTAAATGGTTTGATGGTGACCCATCGTTGGGTACCAGGAAGGTGGAGCTCAAGGTAGTGTTAGCGGGAAGAGTCATAAATCCTGTTAATCTTCGTCTCCCGGTGTCTGTAGGATAGCGACGACTCTTGTTAGTCTTCACGTCTCCAGGTGCCGGTGGTACGGTCTGCGGTCCTGTCTCCTGGTGCTGGTGGAGCTTCCTTGTATCGAGCACAAATGTTTAGTGTAGCCCTGTTGCTCTTGTCATATTCCTGTCTGGAATCTTGCTAGGTGACGTGTTATATATTACTTCAGTGATTATCTTGGGTCCCTCATTTAAAGTATGTTATATAGTTTGTGACGTCACTACAGTTAGGGATTTCCATCACATTAAATTTCCTGACTAACAAGGCGACTCACTACCATCCTACTCTCATCTTATCTCCTTGGTATATAGTATATATATATATATATGTTATTACTCATGTATTGTTGGTGTCTGTGAGAGCTATTAAGTAGTTCCTGGTCATTTTGTTTGAACTTGTGATGAATGGTTTGAAAAACCGACAAGTTGAAGATTGAGACACTTATGCAGCATATGGAAATCTTTATTCGGGAAACGTTTCGCCACACAGTGGCTTCATCAGTCCAATACAAAGAGGAAGGCGTGATGTCATTTGTTGTGTTCATTACTGTGATGTTCACATTGTCTTCTGACCTCAAAGATCCTCACTAATGCCTGATACTGACCTTGCGAGTCGAGGTGTTTTTGCTGCTTGGTTGATCTTTGTACCAATGCTGTGAGCCTGTAATTTTTTTCTATTTGCCGAGATTGTATACATCAGCAATGTGCTGCTACCTTATTCTATATGATAGTTATATGGTGTGGAAGAGGGGGGGGGGTGAAACATGAGAGTTTTAGGCTGTGTACATGTGTCCGTTACTTCGAAAGCTGGCTGGGTAGTCTTAAATGTGGTGAGAGGATTCTGTGCACGAAGAATCCATTTTCTTTGGCTTAACTGAGAAAACATCGTCAAATTTTAGTTCTGTGATCCCGATGATGGAAAGGAAACCATAATAACACATAATATTTAGTATAAATTATTACGGGGGCGTACCAAAATTCCACGGAGTGGGTTAACCTATGACTTCAGACCCACACCGGCAGAATTTTTAAAATTTTGACAACATACACGCTTTTGAATATTTCGCAATTACTGAGCTTCCTGCGGTTCTAACGGGTCCTGCCGACTTCCTCTTGTTTTGTAGGTAAGAGTTGCGTTCGAACCTTCACATTTATAGGCAGAACACATGATAAAGAAAATAAAAAGAAGCAGCAGTTTAAGTACGATTTCGTTTGACATTTTTTTTAATGACGTCGTTCTCTTGTGGTTATATTATTTAATAGTTGTGGTAGATAAACTTTACACGTGGAGGAAGTAACTGTAGTGATCCAAGTACGATGGTAACCATTTTAATGCGAATCCCACATTACTATCTCATATGTAAGTGCTTACGCATATATATACTTGTGTAAGTGCACATGTGTAAATGCATAGGCATGTGGGATGTTGAGGGAAAAATTTCCACCAAGTATAGAATATATCAGGACGTAGTAGAATGATAAAACAAATGTCGGATAAGTTCAAAACTTTATGGGGACAGGTTGACACCCACCGGTAGTCTTACTGAAAGATTCTCTTCCCTTCACACACACAAGATTTAACCCGCCAGCGTGCTGGTACACGCCATGAAAAACACTTTCTCTATTTTACTTCCACATCCACCCAGGAGAAACATTTCTTTACTGTATTAAAGGATTTGTGTTTACATTACATGTTAATCTAAACGCCACGAAAATCTCCACCGGAGCAGCAAGAGCGACTCATTTTTTAATTTGTTTTAGTATATTATTATACGAAGAAATATTTCGATACGAATATGTTAGCGTTCAGTCCTTGGAACTGGGTACAGGTGTTGCTTCCGGTAAATACTTTAGGCCTCGCTTTTTATGTACAAACATGAACGTTGTAATAGGACTACTGGTCCATGCATGGCAGGACCTCCTCGTACCAAACGGTACTCATGAGTAGAATATATTCAAGTAACTTATCAAAGTATTTGCTGAATTTAACACAGCTGCTCAGTATTTTGTCCTACCGAACTAAGACAAGTTACACGTGTTTTCGTATATATCCAGTTTTAGTCTAAATTTGTCCACTTCAGTTCTTCATTTTCACCATCTCGCTGAGGTGTCTAATAGAACAAGATTTTTGGCTCGTATACCGTCCTTTCACCCTTTTCTCCTCAAACTAAAGGAGACTTCTGATCGTATTTTCTCACGCTCAAATGGCGCAGGTTAATGTTGGCGTTTCAAACGCGTAGACCTTCGAGTGTTTATAGACTAAAATTCTATTCATATCAGGCTACTTTCACAATTGCATATAATATACCATTTCAGTCTATTATCTCATCACTGGAAAATGTTACTTTTGTAAGGCTTTGCACTACGGCTGGGATAAGGACTGAGAAGTTAAAATTATATAATTTTAATTAAACAAAGTTGCATGCATTATTATCGAGGTTATCCTATTAATAGTTACACTATGAGAACAAAAGCCAGCAAAAGTTCCGTCACTAAGAAATAATTCGAACATGGAATCGAGAGGCTTCAGTTGTGGGATAGGTTACCGTCGACTGGAACATTCTAGTAGGCCCGGCGAGGGTAGCGCCAGTCCCACCACTCTCCAAGGTTAACCCGCACATATATCTGCCACAATCGCCTTTCTCTCCTCTCTCTCACTTGATCCTTTTTCTTTCATTGTACTGTTTCATCCCCTTCCTCCACCCTTCGTCCAGTTCAAGAGTAAGATGTTCCTACTGAAGATACTTTTCGATGTAATTGTATATAACAGTTAGCTTTATTATCACTATCATATTTCCTGTGCAGTTACTTTAAGCATGTTGGGATTACGTCAGTTCGGAATAACCACCCGATATACCCGCCTCCGCCGCCAAGATATTCTGTTTCCTGGGTAGATCACTATTTTCAAAAAGTTGAAATCTCTAAGACACGGCGCATGTTCGTATTACATTATTAATCTGTTGTTTATTTTTGTCATCCTTTTCCTGTTCTTTGTGTCATGCGAGGCTACTTAACTAGATATGTATGCGTTTCCAGGTAGACAGGAGAGAAAGGGAAAGTACTTGAGCTGGGGATAACCTTTTACCCTTCCACTCACCCTCATCACAATCTTCATGCAGTCTCTCTCTCTCCTCCCTCTTCCTCCATTAATATTACTACTACCACCACCACTACCATCACTACTACTACTACCACCACCACTGCTACTACTACCACTGCTACTACCACCACTACCACTACCACCACCACATACCATTCTATACTACTACTACCACCACCACTACTATTACTACTACTTCACCACTACTACCACCACTACTACCACTACTACCACTACCACCACCACCACTATTACTACACTTACCACCACCACTCATACAACCACCACCACTACTACTACCACCACCACTACTACACCACCACTACTACTACCACCACCACTACAAACTACCACCACACTACTACCACCACTACTACTACCATAATACTACCACCACTACTACCACCACACCACTATTACTACTACTACCACCACCACCGCTGCTACTACTACTACTACAAACTACCACCACCACCACTACTACTACTACTACCACCACCTCCACCACTACTACTACTACTACCACCACCACTGCTACTACTAACAACCACCACTACTACTACCACCACCACTGCTACTACTACAACCACCACCTACTAACCACCACCACCACCACCCACTACTACCACCACCAACCACTGCTACTACCACCACCACCACCACTGCTACTACCACCACCACTGCTACTAACCACCACCACCACTACTACAAACCACCACCACCACTGCTACTACTACAACCACCACCACCACCACCACTACTACTACTATCACCCCCAAACTACTACTACACCAATACCACTGCTACTACTACAACCACCACCACCACGCTACTACTACAACCACCACCACCACCACCACTGCTGCTGTTACTACTACAAACTACCACCACCACCACCACCACCACTACTACTACCACCACCACCACCACTACTACTACCACCACCACCACCCTACTACCACACCACTACTACCACCACCACTACTACCACCAACTACTACTACTACTACTACTACTACTACCACTACACCACCATGCTACTACTACTACCACTAGCACCAACCACTGCACTACTACTACTACAACCACCACCACCACCACTACTACATCCACCACCACTGCTAAAAACTACCACCACCACTACTACTACTACCACCACCACCACCACTACTACTACTACCACCACACCACTATACTACTACCACCACCACCACCACCAACTACTACTACTAACCACCACCACATCTACTACTAAACCACCACCAACCACTACTAATACCACCACCACACCCCCATACTACAACCACCACCACACTACTACATCCCACCACCCACTGCTAATACTAACCACCACCACTACTACAAACTACTACCACCACCACCACCCACTACTACTACTACTACCACCACCACTACTACATACCCCCCACCACTACTTCTACCACCACCACCACTACTAATACTACCACACCACTACTTACAACACCACCACACCACTACTACTAATACTCACCACCACTACTACTAATACTACACCACCACAAACTAATACCTACCCCTACAAAACAACAACAACCCCACCACCACCACCCACCACTACTACTTACTAACAAAACCACCACCACTACTACAACCACCACCACTACACTACCACCACCACCACTACTACTACAACCACCACTGCTACTACCACTACCACCACCACTGCAAACTACCACTACCACCACCACTGCTACTACTACTACCACCACCACTGCTACTATTTACTACCCCCACCACTGCTACTACTACAACCACCACCACCACTACTACAACCACCACCACCACCACTACAACCACCACCACCACTACTAATACTACCACCACCACTACTAATACTACCACCATCAATCTAACAGAGGTGTTAACACGTCGCTAACCCATCCTCTAACTTCCTTTTAACTTACGGGAGAAAACTCACACCCTAAATTAACACCTAGCTGTCAGACGTAAGCAACCCTATTTTATTCCGGTTTTCTCGGTTAATTATACGTAAATATAGGTTAATAAACCTTACTCTAGCAAACCTAACGTAATAGAGTATTAAAATCTGGTTGTGATAGATCGGGCAGAAATGCAGCAAGAATCAGGAGGAAATTGCATGAAATAACAAGTTTCTGTTAAGACATTACCACAATGTTATCTCGGTATAATCCCAAGTTACTGCATAACACAAACACCATCATAGTGACACTGTTAACCCCCACCCCCCAACACACACACTCCCCCACTCTCTAACACTACTTGCTTACTGATGTACAGTACTCGATTATGGAATGAAGCATTAGTTGTCTCTATGGATGAGACAGGTAAGTTGTACAGGGTTCAGCAAGCTGTGGGTGTTTTGCCACAGGAATCATCAGAGACCATTCTCTGCAGAATGGGGATAGGCAGACTAACTTTTAAGATTGGCACCTTGCAGGGAACCCTACCGCTTTTGAGACCTCTGGGACATTTTAATGTAAACTTTAAGTTGTTGGTCTCCTGGCATTTTAAATACATTGCTTTCTTTAACGTACGATCTTTAGTGTTTAAAAGACTAGTATTATTTGACGTCTAGTTTTTATGGTATAGTTTACCGAATGTTCTTAATGTCCCGGCACTATAACGCTTTCCCAGCCTTCCCCCGTCTTTACTTACTCCCTACCCACTATTCCGCCACTTTAACACTCAACTACTTCCCCTCAGTACACTGCCTCTACTTTCTCTCAGTACACTACCTCTATATTCCCTCAGTACGCTGCCTC